ATAATAAGTAGTTGCCTATCAGTTGTAATATTACAACCTTTGATGCTCATTAGTTTCAGTTTGAATTATTAGGTCACACTGTGAATGATATAAGGCAGTAACCTCCCAAGTACAAAAAAGTCCATCCAAAAACTTTGGCAATTACTCTTTTTTCCCTACCTTGTTATTCCTTCTTGACCCAGAAACTAAATATACTCCAAAAATCTCTGGATTGTGTTCAAGTGTATCCCTTCCTTACAGCAAATTCCACTTGAAAGGTGGCCAGGAAAGCCCAGTTAAATACCATGCTTGTTAGAAATAATATGTTCAATGAGATAACTTTTTTGTGATGACTGTATATATAATAATAAGGCATTTTGCAGTGGAGCATACACCACCTACTTGAGAGCAGCAGTACTGTGCTGCTGGGAAAGGCTACTGTCAGTTGGAATGAATGGTTTTTTTTTTTACATTCAATTTTGGGTTTGATTCAGTTTATGACAGCTGCCACCCCCACCACTGCTGAGACAAGACATGTGCATAGGACGTAATGCAAACTGAATAATTTAAGAAGGATGAACTTGTGTGAGCTGGAAAGAAACTGAAGACTGAAGAAGTTTCTTCCACTTTTCGTGGGGAAGAACCTGGAGTAAAGTTGGTTGTCCAGCACTCTCGTTTATTTTATTTACACTTACACTTGTGATGTTTAGAGGAACATCAGCGCATTTAAGTTTTATAACATTTTCTAAAAGGTGTCTGTGTTTTCTTTCTTAAAAGGAACTCCAGTTTACAATCCAGAAATTGTCATAATCAGTCATATCTACAAAGAATTGTATTGATTACAGTGCGCCACATACACTATGAGCATTGTCAAGGGCATACATCTATCTGGAAGAACATTTAGATAGTATAGATTTAAGAACTGATTATGGTAAAGACGAACATAACCTTTCATTTAGAGCTGTCATCATTCTTCTCTCATTGCATCTTGACCATCTTGCACCCATTAGGACTTGAAAGAACAAAGTCACAGTCTGTTTCATTATATAAAACAATGTTTGTTAAAAGGTTGTGTGTTAAAAAGCATAGTTTTCTTGTGAAGATGAGGGATGTTTTGATTCTCAGTGGTCAAGGCAGGAAGTAAAAGGAATTTTACATATAAATAGATTTTTTATGTTGTCCTGTGTGAATTTAAAGAAACAACATACATTATGACATGACATGTTATTTTGTATGCATATAAGTGTTGTGAAAGTGAATACTGTGAATGTTTATGAAGAGTTTCCCTCGAGCAGTTGGCACTCAGCCCCTCTCAGCCAATCAGCAACCAGCAGTCTGACTCCATTTTTAAAATGGACCTTCTCGTTGCTGCTTTTGAGTAACAAACACTCCAAGAACTTTTATAAAAGTAGTCATTTTTTAATTAATTTTCAGTTAAGGCAATCCAATACAAAGCATTTCACAATATGACAATAATCATGTACAATAAAAACCCATTTAAAGGAAAATAGGAAGTCATGCAAATCAGAAAACTAAAGCGATATAAACAAGAAATTGTGGGATTAGAAAAAAAACTATTTTAAAAAAAGTGATAACTGTAACATGCTAATTAGCTACAGTTTATAATCACTGGTGAGACGAGAAATGTTTGGAGAACCAGGCACAAGAGAGAAGAAATAGCAAACAGTCCACAGAGCTTACTGCCATGTTTGGCATTGACATGCATGTAATCTGGTTGGGCTCATTCCTATTTTACAGATGGCGGCACTGTGTGTAAAACACTCGATGTACCCCAAGAAAACATGCAGTCGATCCATCATACTAATAAATCAGTGCTTTAAGAGGAGATGAAGTCGCTGTTATATGACATAGACGAGTGATGGCTTGTCATTCAAACTCAAAAAATAAATAAATATCTTCCAAACAGTAATATTCCCAAAAATATATCAAACATATACAATAAGCACTCCTCTTGAAGATAAAGTGCTGTTGGGATCTATATACAAACCAGCTGTTACATACGCTTTATATTCTAATATAACTTTTATCATTTCACTCTTACACTACACAAAGATTTACAGGCAAATTGCTGTTTGCCATTTTGACCACAATTAATTAATTTTCTCGACTCCCCCGAAGAGCCGTACTTCCACCTGAACAGTTTTTCAATAAATGAGGTGGAGTGACTGCCTTTTACATTTTTAAGGCCTTTAGTTTGCTACATTAGACATTTGAACAGAACCTTTTCAGCTCAGATTAATTCTGCTTCTGCATCGTTTTGTCAGTTTAAAGAACACCTTTTACAGTCCATTATACTCAATGTAGCATCAATATTTTCGTTTGATTACTCTCTACACCAATGAGAGGCTCATGAAGGTCAAGATAGTCAACAAAACAAAGTGAAACAAAAAAGTTTAAATAAGGTTTAGAAGCGCTATATGTCTATGTAATGCTAAAGAAAGACACAAACAAGATACAGCCAAATGCTAACATCAACATGCTAACATGCTCACAATGACAACACTAACGTGCTGATGTTTAGCAGGTACATGTAGTGATAACTACGTTCACCACCTTACTTTAGCATGTTAGCATGCTAACATTGATGAATTATCACTTGAGACAGATAACAGCTGAGCCTGATGGGGTTATCGTTTACTTTTGTAGATATTTGGTCATGAATAAAAGTACTGATGATGACACTACAGGAAAAGTTAGGGGATTACAAAATGTCTGAACCCAAATTTCATGACAATCAATGATGTTTTAGTCCTGACCAATGTGGTGGACTGTACAACATTGCCATCAGCTCCACTGCTAGCATGGCTAAACGTTCAATACGAAAATGAATGAATGTTTTAATGCATTTAATGCAATATTTAATGTGCATTTCTGCTGCTTTCTGTCAAATGCATGATTTTATAAGGGCGTCCTGTTCCTAGAAAGACTAACGATGTAGCGAGTGTCACAATAGTCAATGAGAAACAAAACAAATTGGGAAAAAACATTTGTTTCTGCTACTTGTAGCAGAAATACTACGTGGTTTGTCAGATGAGAGGCATGATGGGAGAGAAACAAGCCTCGAGTGTTACATTATATTCTGTACTTCTATCAAAAACTCTCCTCTATTTGTGGCTGTTTGTGTTTTTCATGACCAAAACATCCCTACATGGATCGTATACCTTCATTTTCATCATGATATTTCTCTCTCTGTGTGCATTTTTGTAAGGCAACACATCATAGGACTGTCAGGGATTGTTGTTGCATCATGCATCTGAAATGACAAGCTTCGTTACTGATGCTGTAAATTAGATATGCTCTGTGGAAGCCGGCTTGCTTTAGTTTTTTGTCACTAAACTGACGTCACAGATGGTGGGAAGCTACAGAAAGCCAAACTAAGATTAGCACAAAAAGATCTGTCTTTACCCTGTGGTATAGACAGATTGTTAATGTGTTTGAGAGAATTACTTATGTAATGAAAGTAATGAACATCAACCCATTTGTGAACTGTCTCCCACCAGAGACACTGCGGCAAAGGCTGGGCTGTATAAAAAGTAAATCTCCGGCAATCTCCGTGAAGTCTATGAGTCTATGAGGTTATGTGGCTGCTGATGCGTGGCTGTGGGGGGCTTACGGTTTTGCACAGAGTCTCTGGGTTACAGAGGTGATGTGTTTGGGATCATATCAGGGCTGAATTAACTCTCTATTGGGCCCTGGAGCAAAAATAAGATATGGGCTCCAATTAATCAGCCCGCCCCCACATCAGTTTGCAAAATAAACCATCAGTGTTCCTGCATTGCTGTGTCAGATTTTTTCATAAAACACACATTATCATTACATTAATAACATGTAACATGCATACTTGTTACATATAAATGAAAAATGGAAATAAATGTATCAAGCGAAATAAGAAATATATGAAAACTCAATTTTGACACAATGCCTCTCTACAAGTCATCAAGACTAACCATTGCTTTAAGACCCTTATTTTCCATGTATATTGTACTTTTGTTGTATACATTACCAAAAAGAGGTAATTAATCAAATTATCACAAAGTAATGTGGAGCAATTGCCCACTTTGCCAGGTTGGTACTCCAGCTATGACCAGTACTTTTTTTTTTCTTTTGCCTGCTTCATGGTCTGTCTTTTACTTATGTGGAAATGTATTTGGTAGTGTCTAGGGCTGACCCTGAATAGTCTAAGATTCAATGCTTCAATGTGCGGAGCCTGATTCAACTGTCAATCTCACAGTCAAAGCTTCGCAGTAAAACAAGGATCTTGCCATTTTGGCGATATGGGGGTGCTCAACGTCTGACATTTCATAGAACTACTAGTTTTCTCCCAATGAGTTAATATACAGCCTATTACAATATACATTTCAACGTTATAATGCTGTAAATAAACATGTAAAAAGAATAAAACTTTCAATAAATGTTTAAATAAATCCAAAATTGTAACCCTAACTCTGGGTTGTCAGTGCGCACGTGTAGGCGTAGCATGTATGTGTAGGTGCAGAAGAGACGGAGCCCCGGCTTCACTGGTGTTGTGCCGAGTTGTCCACACCTCGCAGGACTTTCGTTTAAAGTATCACCGTTGATTTTTAAATAGTCGGCTACTTGAAATAGACCCGCAAGGAGCCGCGACGTGCATGCAGTTGTCGGCAGCACGGCATGCAAGCTAAAGTCGGCACAAGACCGGTGAATGACAGGCGAGAGAGAGAGAGAGGGTCAACAATTAGCCTCAGATTAACTGGAAATTTTCAGTGTAAGTGGAATGAAAAGAGACTGCAGCTCTGCAGGTTCTCAAGCGGAGCTACCGTGTGTAATGTAACCTTACTAAATGACAACCTTAAACAAGCCTGGGTCATATTTAAAACATTTTATGTTGAACTGCAGCTGCAGCACAAAGATATCTGACTTGCATGAATTAATGAATGAATTGGGTACTTTCTTGAGAAACAATGAATAGCAGCACTCAAAATTATTAAATATGATTAACCTGGTAGCATTATAAGTCTGTCCTTGGTATAGAGACAGGTTGTCTTGTGCTTTTAATATGCAATCACTTAATAATAATTGGTGAACACTTCAAAACGGATAAAGTTTACATTATTCAAAACAGATCTATCAAATGCCCATGCCACTCTGAATAACATTTGAGAATAAATACTCTGGGATATGGGGAACATACAACATGCTCTTATAAACATTTACTTAATAAAGAGGAGAAGATGTGACACCTCATGGTATGAAAAGCCTGATTCATGTTCAACGTAATAAACTGTAAAAACTATGCACCTGCAGTTTTTCTCCATCATAACTGATGCAGTAGCAGATATGGAGATAGTCCCCAAATATAAAAACTAATTCCAGAAGGGAAAAGGTGCCTAAAAAATATCACTGTATTAGGCCACACCAATGACTGACGAGCAAGGTTTAGGTCAAATTTCACATGTCCTGATACACTTAGAGAAACAACCACAGACAGGCACAAGTTTTAACCACAACATGACCTTTTTCAACCAACCTGCTGTCAAATCAGACGAGAAACAGTCACTGCCTCAGTGTCGATTAAAAGGCTTTCACTAACGAGTCCTGGAAAGTTTGCAGCCTCTCTTTAAGAGAAATTAGCCAAATGAACATACCACAGAAAACACCCTCCCTCCCCTTACCCACCAAAATGCTGCTCCAATAGTCACTGGGAGGATACGGAACAGAATTCAACATCCATTTCCTGGTGTGTTAGCTCCTGTTTGAACCAAAAACAGGAGGTAGAGAGTTCCCACTGGACACTGAGTGGCTGCTGCATGCTGTCAGTCCTCAGCGAAAAAGCCATGAAAGGAGGGCTTCAGATCAGTGTGTGGTGGTGTGTGTGCCCGGGTGGTGTGTAGGGAGGTGGCGCCGGGTTGGGTTTTATCCCACGGCTCTTCATGTAAGAGATGAACTGGTCAGGGATCTCTGCTAGCACGTCTTTAGCGAGCCGAGCCATGCTTAACACGTGGTTGCCTGTTCTGTCCATGTAGTCTCTGAAGGGAACGAACTGAGGAAGAAGAGAAGAAAATGGAACAATATGCTTATATACAGTAACTTCATGCTCATGAGGACAAAGAATGTCATGGTGTAGTAAATAATCCAAAATATTAACTTTTTTCATTTTAAAAATGCATTGTTGCACAGGATTTGACAGCATATGGTTTCCTCTGCCTAGCATAATACCATCTGGAGGTTTTGGGCTATTGTTGTAGTGATTCATGAAAAGCTCCAAATACCTTTTGACAATGTACACAAGTATGTTTTGGAGAGCAGTATGGTATAGTGCATGGAGAAATCCACAGGGCTCATGTTTAAGCCCCAATGTTAGTCAACATTTGCCAGATCCCGCAAGCTTTAGGATGCTGATCTGTCACTAATCCCATGCTCTGGCTTATGCAGGAGTGAGAGGAAATAAATGAGCTTAAGTGAAAAGATAAGTTTTTCTAGTAGGGTTTTTTTTTAGGTTTTTTTTTTTTGGTAAAACACACAAACCCTGACAAATCTCATCTAGTGGTCAATTTAGTTAGTACAGTATTTGATGGCCAAAACAATAGCCATCAAATACTATAAATTGTATTTGGCACTGGCCCACCTCCACTATAAAACACATCGTTGGTTGACCACTATTCAGTCACTTTACTTTTTTTTGACATAATAGAAACAGAAAGATGATGAGTCGGTTGAAACCTTGATAGTTCTGCGAATAAGATAAGATGTAACTTTATTAATCCCCCATAGAGGAAATTTCAGAAAGCAGGCCCAAAAGGGGCCTGCTTGTCTTCATGGGAATTCACAGGAAGCACACAGATGCCCTAATCTGTTGAGCTGCCAGTGCCAACAGATGGTCCTTTGTCAGAAACAGACGTTTTAATGTCCCAGCACAACTGAGGTAATCGTATGAATGTAAATGTAAAAATATGACACAGTGTGTACTGTAAATCAGTGGACACTGTTGCCTACAAATAGTGATCCGTTTGAGAAGTGTTTATTGACGGTATTGTCTGTTATCTAGACTGGACATTTATGAGCTATTCCTTAAGTTCGGTGAACTTGGACACCACGCTTCTTTTCCAGTTCCTGGTCTCGACATACATCTGCAACAAACACAGTTTCTTTCATGCTGTAAAGAGCAGTCACCTGAACAATGTCCCTCTCTGCCAGTTTCCCCCGGGACGAGATCCTGATGTCATCACCATCCAGCTCCACCATAGCTGGAAGACACAAGTTTGCACACATGCACACAAACACACAGTATGACAACTAAGCAAAGACAACATTAGCACAAGACAGCACTGGCTTTAGGACAGAGAAAAGGTTGATACACCACTGATGTAAAGGTTTAGTTATCATACATCATATTAATCCCATAGCCTTAGCATCAGTAAAGGAGTGTGTATGTGGAGCTGTACGGCTGTAATCTCTCTTCATTGCATGTTTAATCAACTAATAAATCCTTTTATTATAGCCTCTGTGCAATTTAGATTCATTGGTACTAACAAGCAAACCCAGCAATTAACCTCAGCTATTTCTTCTACAATTATGCCTGCATCCACCTACGCATTCCCTTCTCTACTGACTCAAATGAGTTTGTACAGTAATTTTCTTTCGGGTATTTCTCTGAATCAGTGCCAGAGAGGGTAACGCTGGCTGTAACAGTAATACACTGTGAGTTATATGAATTAAAATGTAAATTATTGGCTTAAGGTTTACAACTTGATTGATGTAGATGGTATAAAAACATCAGCACACTGTATATTACACAAAACGCTTTAGAGATTTAGATTTACAAGCTTTTTTCTTTACTAATAAAATGACCACATTATTTAATAATTACATTCATGCAGCAGTTACAAAAAACACTGTACCATCAAACTCAGCCTGACCCACTCCAACTATGATGATGGACATGGGAAGTTTGGCACCCTGCAGAGAAATCAAAAAAGGAAAATATGTTTTTTCTTAACAGACAATATACACATGTAAACATTTCTTTAATTAGAGGAGAAACTTGTCCACATACACCAATGACCTGTGTAGACCTGATGTTTCATTACTGTACATCAGACATTATAGCAGTTACGTGCTCACCCACGTAGGTTACAATCACACTAACGTTTTGCTTCACCCTTTAACGAGCTGAATAACCTTTTAAGTATGACAAGGCCTCCAGAGAGAAAAAGAGAGTGAGTTAGAGACAGGAAGTCAGAGAAAGAGCACGAAACATGGAGATGCTTAAATAGAAACTTGTTTTTCTTTCTTTCCTTATTCCAGATATTTTATGAAATCCAATTTTCTGTCTTATGAATGCTCCCCAGCTCTTATCTTGGGATGACAATTTGTGTTTGCCCACTGAATGCTGGTTATCAGGCTGAGGAAAGGAGATTAAACTCACTGACAACACTAACAGCAGATACTGTTCAGTAGTATCAGTACTGAAGCTGTTTTGACAGCTAAAAGCCAATCAAATTTATCCCCAGAATTCCCAGACTGGATTGACGACATGCTGACCTGCAGAAAGAACCATATTATTTTGACGTTATTCAAGATCTAAGGTTAAGGCTAAAAGAGACATTTGTTCACGGGAAGGTGGGGGGGGATTAATCTGTTGGCAAACACCTCGATTAGCTCCAGGTGTGCCATGGTGGCATTTGTGAGCTGGGAGAGGAGGGAGAGGGAGGAGGTGACAACTTCAGTCAGCACAGCATCCATCCTCAGTCACCCGCCCAGCCACTCCCAAGCCACACCTCAAGTCAGACAACATGGCTGTTAGTTTCGCTACCGTGACGGTTTACTGTCTCCAAACTAAGGCATAATCTGGATTGAAAATCAGACAAAAGATGTCAACATTTACAACATGTAGGGCTGGGAAATATTTGATATTATGCTATACTAACTTTCAAATTGCATTGTGATGACAGGTACCTACCGTTTTATCGTTCACCAAATATCTGTTCTCCTAATGAATGATCTCAAGAAAAACTTCATTTAGACAAAAGTCTGCAGCCATGCTAGCGGCTTTGTAGGGCTGTCCTTAGCTACAGCGGTCCTTTTTTGCTAAACTGTAATGCCAGCTTGCTAACATGCTCACAATGACAATGTTAAGAGGCTGATGTGTAGCAGGTATCATGTTTACTATCTTAGTTTAGCATGTTAGCATGTTAAAATTTGCTATTTAGCACTACACATAAAACAAGATGTCATTATTTTTGCAAGCATTTGGTCAAATATCTGGCTAAAAATATATGATTTATATTTTACTTAAATATACCAAATTTCATGGAAACCATCTAAGTTTTGTCCCAACTGACCCGACATCGCCATCCACTGAGCCACATGGGCTCTAAACTGATATAGTCCCTCAACACTAAAAAAATGCTTTTTTACTTGTTGTTACTTCACTTGAATGTTTAACCCTCCCTGTGCAGAATGATGTATGTGCAGAGTAAGACGTTTCCGAACAGGCCCTACAAAGAGTGGTTCGTTTTGCTTAATGTATCATAGGCAGCACTCTACCCTGCCTAAAGGACATTTACACCAGGCTGATCTCAATCACCCAGATAACAGAAACGCCTTTCCTCCCTGCTGCCCCCCTACTTCTTTTAAAGAATATTTTTATCTTACTTACTGCTCAAAGTTACTTACTAAAGTTACTATAGTTTTTTATTACTTATATATTCTTTATTCTTATAATATTTTACACTTATTTTTTATTGCACAGTTGTGGGAGCTTGTGGACATAAATTTCACTAGGATTGCAACCTGTATGATATGTGACAAATAAACTTGAGCTTGACACCAGAGGGCTGTCTTCACATTTGGCTGCTGAAGGGGTAAAGTTTGTCTGTGCTCACCTTAAATCTCTTTTAAGACGTTTAAGACGTGTATGTACAAGCTGATTTAGTGACATCACAACTAGTGTGGGAGAAAGTATTTTTAAATGTCTTAAAACATTTGAGAGGAGATCTTTGCTTTACATATATAAAGATGTTATCTGGCATTAGATATACAGCTATCAGATATAAATATCCTTTATATACCATCCATCGTCAACAGCTTATCCTGCGCACAGGTCACAGGGGGCTGGAGCCAATCCCAACTGACACTGGGCAAAAGGCAGGGTACACCCGAACAGGTCGTCAGTCCATCGCAGGGCCACACATAGACAAACAACCAGTCACACCAAAGGACAATTTTAGAGTCACCAATTAACCTAGCCTGCATGTCTTTGGACAGTGCGGAGAAGCCAGAGCACCTGGAGAGAACCCACACAGGAACAGGGCAGGGCAACTGAGGTTTGAACCTGCAACCTTCTTGCTGTGAGGCGACAGTGCTAACCACTGAACCACCGCCCATCCTTTACATACCTAATTATATAGTTAATGTATATTTCAGGCAAACAAGCTGTATCATACGCTTACACATCCTATTTTGTGTAATGTATGTATATGTATTATAAACAAACAGTCCAACAAAAACAACGTCCTTCATTCTGTTTGAAAGGTTTTTATGAATAAAATTGAAAGTTTTTGATAGTCTGACTTGTATTATATGCAACTAGTGATACTGACTGCATTGCACTCTGATAGGCCATGTTAGTGTCTGCTGTTGTAATTTCCAGATAGATGGCAACATATACGCTCAATGCAAAAGCTACCACTATGTGTAATGAGTTTCCTGCAGTCACATATTTTCACCAAGCATTTATAACAAGTGCAGTTTTATCTCTTGCACAAGACAAATGTACTGTGGTAAATCAGGCAACCTCTTTTTCCACGGGGATGAGAGCACTTTCTGTCGACACCACCTCAGCCACAGCACATCAACGCGATTTATCAGTGTTCAACACAACTCCCGTCAGTGCCTGTTCTCCCACGCACACACAAACAGAAACATGCACACATATACATGCGCGTGTGCATAGCCGGAGACATACACACACATCAAATGCCACCAAAAATAACCTGGCAATCCACCATGCCCCACTTTTGCCATTCTCCTGTCACCCTGACTGGCAGCCGAGAGCAAGTGTAATGAGACGACGTAACAAAGCGTCAATCAACACTCATTACTCCAACAGCTCACTCTGGATGTGCCGCTTAAATCCAAATGTCATGCATGTGCATGCTTTGAAATGTTTTTTTTTAATTTGCAGCTAAATGAATGTAATGTAAAGGGACAGCTTCAAAATACACAGAGTTTCTTGTTCCACAGCCTAACTTTCCACACAAATTTGGATATCCTACTAATTCTGGATATAAAAAACTAAACAGAACAGAAGGCCCTTTATTTGTGAAGCCTAACCCTGTTCATGTTTCATAGTTCATAGTTTAGCCAGAGATTGCGAGATAGTAACTGTAACAATGTAATTTATTACTTTAGCCACGGCAGTTTCCTTTGGCGCTGCTATGGCGACCAGCTAAATTAAAGGGGCACTGTATCTGCAATGGAACAATGGAGGACAAGCCATAAAAGTAGAAGTACCACAGTGTGCTGTACACTGATCAGCCATAACATTATAACCAACTGCTTGTCATAGGCCTCCCTTTTGGCACCAAAAGAACCTGTCGAGGCATGGACTCCACTGTGATGCCCTGTGTGTTCTGACACCGTTCTCTCTGAACCGGCATCAAATTCGTCACCAATCTGAACTACAGTAGCTTGTCTGTTGTACTGGCCAGCCTTCGCTCCCTACGTGAAATGACCCTGTCCCGGTTAACCTCTTTTCCTTCCTCGGACCACTTTTGATAAGTACCTACCGCTGCAGACCGGGAACAAGAGCTGTGGTTTCGGAGATGCTCTGACCAGTCGTCTAGCCAACACAATGCAGCCCATGTCAAAGTTACTCAAATCCTTACTCTTGACCATTTTTCCTGCTTCTAACACATCAACTATGAGGACAAAATGTTCTCTTGCTGCCTAATATATCCCACCCACTGACAGGTGCCATGGTAATGAGATAATCACTGCACCCGTCAGTGGTCATAATGTTATGGCTGATCGGCGTATTTGTAGTTGTTTTTTGTTTTCTTGGTTTCACCAGGTATCCCTTTGCCTCTTACACAACAAAGTCCTGCATCCTATACAAAGTGAATGGAGGTAAAATAGTTGTGACGTGAAATACTTTTGGTGGGGTCTGGCACTGATAAAGAGATGAAGCACAAAGCACTGACAGATAACAAACAGAAGATGAGAAGGGAAAGAAATCAAAGGCAGCAGAGGATTTTGTTATCGAATGTATGTGGTGACAGAGGTATGGAGAGAGCAGATGAAGATAAAGAGATTTAGATCTTTGAGAGGGACTGAAATGGAGAAGGACAGCAGGAGTCTTTGTATTTGTGAGGTAAGGTGTCTCACGGCTCCACAGAGAGAAAAACGAGGCAGTGGATGGACCAGAGCCGTGAGCAGAGGAGGGAGATGCTGGGTGATTGATAAGTGCACTTCTGTAGTATAGCAGATTCTCTTGTGACTGATAAGCCCCGTTTGTTCCACCACATTGATCTCTATTACTGTAAACATGGAGGACAAACACTCCCAAACTGTCCTGTCACATGTCTACACACTGAGCGAAACACACAAAAACACCCGCATGCCTTAATGCAAAGCCACTCCAGATGTTCATACTCAACATACAGAGAGTGGTGCACATTTGGGCTTCCTCTCACTCTGTTTCTCGCTCTTTCTTGAAGATACCTTCCAGCATGAAAAAGTACAAGGAAAGGCTTATATAACCTCAGCAGTGTGTCCTCCCTTGCCCGGGATCCGTGGAGAGTAAAAGGGAAAGCAGTGGAAGTGGCAAAGCATCAGCAGACAGTCAGAGCGGAGGTAGTGAGATAGAGCAGCAGGCAAGATCTTAAAAGGAAGGTGTGGCTGTTCTAATGTTTTGACTAACAGTCGCAAATTCCCTTTAAATCCAGTCTGCTGGGTGTTCTGTGCCTGCGGTGAGCTGAGGAGGAGGAGGGGAGAAAAAACGAGGACACCAAGGAAGAGGAAAGGAAAGGACGCCAGGCACCTACTATTCAAAGCTGGGACAAGAAAAGAGTTAGGACAGGTTTTTGGGAAAGCTCAGAGGAATAAAGCACAATGTTGTCTTTTTTATTTACTAGAGCAGTTACATATTTTCAAATGCTTCACTCACAACAGTGAAAGGACCACATTTAAGGACAGTAGAGGATTCATTAAATATTACCTGGGTGTTGAGCTACTTTGGTAGTTGTCAGGTGAATTAATTAGTTTATATCTTGAGTGTGTTTTACGTACTATTTGGCACAAGCTATGACGGTACAAAAATGTCAGTTATGTGAAGCCATTACACCTCTTCTTTTGCTTTACAGTTTGCAGAACAACTGCTTCTGTCACATGCTCTGTTTAAATCGGAGTGACAGCCACAATGAACATCTGGGCTATTATTTGTTTTTTCTGAGAGTGAATGCCAGAGCTATTCAGAGACACGGTATCCACATGCTCAGAAAAAAATCATTACTAGTGCTAAAACAATTAAAAGAAGGAAAAGTTTGACGTTTTGCATACTTAAAGTTAGATAAAACGATTGATACCACTCTCATGTCTGTACAGTAAATAAGAAGCTACAGACAGCAGCCATTTACGTTAGCTTAGCATAAAGAATGAAAAAACAAGCTACTCTAGCCCTGTCTGAAGACAACAAAATCAACCTACCAGCATCTACAAAGGTCAGTAATTAACATGTGATGTCTAATTTGTTTCATACCTACAAAAACTGAATGTTATAAATGACAAGCTATGGTTTTATGCTGGACTTTTTCTTCGCTGGGAGTAGTAACTTTCTAAAAGTCTTGTCATCACCATGAAGTTACCAGGCCACCTGAAGAGATTGTATTACCTTTCGACATTGTATTACCTTTCCAGTCTTTATTCCAAGCTAACCCAACCGGCTACTATCTGTGGCTTCATATTTACCGTACAGGCATGAGAGTGTTATCAATCTTCTTATCCAGCTCAAACTAAATGAGCTTATGTCGAACTACTGTATTTGCTTTAAACCCTTCATTTCATAGCACCATTCACTTCAGAGGCATTTCCTTCTAGTTTATACCAGATGAAATCCAGCCTTATATAGTGCAGTAAAGCACTGTGTCTCCCCCCTTTCCCATTCTTACATTTACAATGGCCTCTTTGGTCTGGGCCATGTCGGAAATGACGCCATCTGTGATGATGAGGAGCACAAAGTACTGAGAGCCGTCCTGCACTGCAGCCGCATACCTGCGTACACATGCACGCACAAATACAGACAAAAATTAGAGGGTGTCGTATGATCTCGTCAATGCAAGAACAAATGTGACTTATTGATGAATTTATCGAAATGTTATAAATCCATGACAAAACATGCCTTATCGTGCAGTCTCACCGCAGGCAAATTCAATAACAATTTTCTTTGTTATTGCTGCACTCATTAAAATGCCTCACAAATACACCCTGATTAATCAGTCCAAACAATCAAGTTTAAAACAAAGCTGGCTTACACTGTTTGATTAGCAGAGGAACGCCTTTGTTAAAAATCTCTTCCTACTTGAGTTCACCTGTTCAAATGCTAAATACAAAAACAGCCGTGGCTCCCTGCAGCAGTTTAGTGTGACTCCATTTTATCAGAATGACATTTTTAATTACAACAGAGCACTGGCGTGATCAAATGGAGAATTGTTTGGATGTGGCTGAACAAATGAGACGGAGAGGGAAGCAGTGGCAGTGAGAGGTGGAGGCTGGTGTCAGGGGGGGCACAAGAATCCACTCAGATCATATCAGAGTTTGCATACTTTTTTAATGTGTTGTTAACTGCGAGTGATATGTCAGTATATGTAAATAGCTACAGGCCCGTTTGTCATCTGTTCCATCAGCTAAATCCGCCACTCTTTTGATAGCTGTCAGCCGAGCATATTCATACACATTACATTCTGTTTGTTGTGTCTGGCAGGAGGGATATTGCCAGTGTACTGGGTCAGAAAAGCAGTGGCGCAGCAAATTAAAGCCAACAGCCAGCAGTCAAAAATGTTGTTGTGAGTGTTATTTTGATAACCAGAATCTTGTAGATCATTATCTTGATAATCTGTGTGCTAACCTGGTGGCACAAAACAGAATTCTTGTTGACAATAGACAGATAAGTCAGTAGGTCTTTTAGAAAAGCATTGAACATTGTGTACTGCTCTCTGCATAGAAACACGTTTAGAATATATTTGTGTGAATATCGATCCAGGTTTCACAGTTTTTATAATTGTGTTTTCAGTATTTGAATGGAAATATGGATAATGTAAAAAATGATGATGAATCACAAGCAGAATAAATTAAGAAGAACATCCATGGGGATGAAACAAAAAAGTCCAAACTATCACGATATAAACTATGAGACTTCCTGTTTCTTTAGGATGTGGTTGAGAGTAAAGATGGAAAATGCCTCTGTACAGCATCTTACATTTATTCTAAGAGCAGCTTTTTGTCCTTCTTGTAGAAGAAAAAAGTATAAGCTCCACAGCAGCTCCACTGTTCTCTCACCTGGCAACATGATTCACCACAGGAGCGAAGTTAGTTGGCCCGTACAGCTGCACTGTCTTCAGACTCTGGTGGTATGCCTCTAAGATGCCCTCAATACCATTGCAGTACGGATTTTCCATGTTTCCGTTCTGAAAAGGAGAGAGCGTGAAAATCAATTTCACAGGCTTGTGAATGCATTTATCAAACAAAGAAACACTGAGATCTTTATCAAAGCACACTGGTTTCATTAGATGCCATTTACTTGTTATCCAGTCATCTTGTCATGCACAAAATCCATGAATTTGAATTAAAAACATGGAAATAAAAATAATTTAAAACCTTTGATAAAATCAAATTAACTAATTAATCATAGGTGAAATAAGGAGAGGTTAACTTCACCAGTGGAAACTCATGTGACACCCGTCCATCAGGGGGCAGTTTGGCTCCAAAGCCCAGAGCAGGGAACATCTTGTCGCTGTCGTAGTCCTGAATGATCTCCCCAACAGCTTTCAGGGCCATGGCGTAGGCGTTCAGCTGGTAGGGATTCATGTAGTGCAGCGAAGTGGACTGGGAGGGATTACCTGTCGAACAATCAATCAATCTCAAGCTCAGTGGGGGTAATGAGGGACAAATATGTCACTTCTAGAATGCAAGATAGTTTTTGAGCACCTCTTATGTCATGACGTGACATTAAAAAAATATATTTTGTTGGCTGCAGCCATGCATCACAATTAACATGATTCCTGTCAGGTAGAACATTCATGTCCATTGTTCAGAGGTGATGAATCGTAACGTTTAATTCAGAAGTTTGTGACACAATCAAGGGCAATCCATTAACAGCGGAGAGAATTCAATACTTCCAAATGCCAAATTAATTGAGCATTTAGAAATCTCGTCAATAAATGTGACCTTCCCAGATATTCCCTCCGTAATGACACATCATGAAGTCGTTCAGTATTAACGGCACGGCTTGGATATTCTGGACGTGCTTCTGATTGATTGAAGTTGTTATCTTTTCACCCAGTGAGCTTGCTCACCATTTGATTAGCTTCACCTGCTATCTGATAGCAGAAATCCTGCTGGTTGCCTGGTCAGGTTGTATACTCACAATATGTATTACCAATGATATTATCTGGAGTCCAGAGTGTAACAACAAATTGTATGTCACCTTGAGCACCACGGTTGGAAATCTCAACAGTTTGGGGAAATTGACTGTTCGCTAAGCCTACCTACTTGCAATCGCCTTACGTTTTAGCAAATATCTGTCTGTTTTATAATGTAACGTGGAAGAAAATTTGAGACTTACTACAGCAGTCTGACAAACATCCACAGCTATGTACATAGTGAAGCTAATTAGATCAGTTCTCCCACACAGGGCTGGGAGCAGCTTGTCATGTTGCTGTTATAATAGTCATTGTGACTGGTCAGAAGGTGTATTTGTGTTGAGGTTGTCTAAGTGCGGCCATTCATGTTATTAGAAAATATCTCCATCCAGACATGGTTAGTTTCACTATAACATACTTTTCCCATGATATGGGCTTATTATTGTGGAACAAGCTGATTATTCCTAATTATATTATTAATAAAATATTACATATTGCGTATTTGGGTGAAAAGTTGTATTTTAACTATACACTTATAAACCACCTTCCAGACCTGTTAATGATCTATGTAGAAGACATGACACATGCATTTCACGTGCATTTCCAGATACATTCCAAATACTAAAAAGTGAATATGCTAGTCATGAACTAACCTGTAATGTATTTGTATTTTAGCAAATTACATTTTCCTTGGCCTTGGAAGTAATACTAGTTGTTTGTTACACGCTAACATTTATGTTGTGTTTACGTTAGAGCAGATAAACACACAGTTTAATTTATTGCTCACACTTTCCCTCTTGTGTTTTTGATAGCGTTAAGGCAAAAAGAAAAATACCACATCCTTCACACTGTTTCTGTACCTAGTATTTCTCTTACTGAAGCCCCATGTACACCTTTTCAAAAACTGGACAAATCCAAAGCCTGGCAGACCTGCCATTCCTAGTTAAGGTTGCTAAGCTATTATTGTACAATACCTGCTCAGGGGATGAATTTAGCAACAAATTATTGGGAAAAGGAAAATTCACATTTTCCTCTAATAACTTCCTTGCGGTTAAGTCTTTTACAGCATTGTGTTCAGGCATAATTAGTAGTGGTTGGTTAAATGCATGCTTTGTACTGTGTGTGTTTAAAAGTGTATGTGGACATTAAAGTTCATTATCAATAGATTATTATCAGTGTGGTCCTTTTCCACACAAGTCTTTAAATCAAGCTGATGGTTTTACTTAAGCGGGAAGCTCTGGGTCTGAAAAGAAGCCAATGGTGAAGTGCCTTAAATCTGCATTCTTTCCAACAGGGGGCAACTTCAATGGTGGCATAAATAAGTCTGATTGCATTAGACTGAAAGGCAAAATAACTACTGTTCACTTGATTTATTAACTCAGTAAACACTTTCCTAACGAGTTTATGGTCTCAATCGCTAGTTTCAATTCTTCTTTAATACAGCATGATGTAAATTTAGTAAATTATGGTCTCATTTAGAGGAAAATAGATGATAAAGCAGGGGATGCTTTAGGGCGGGACTATCTTGTGATTGACAAGTCGCTACCATGGTGACCTGTCAATCAGGCTTAAGGCGACTTCTATCCACTGCAACTGTCTAAAGTTAACCAGCGCCATTGAAAAAGCTTGTTAGGAGTCGGCTGTTCATTTCTTCCGCTAAGTACATTTTGTTTTAAGCCTTTTTTTTACTAGCCAAAATTAGCATCCGAGTTAATATCACAGTTAACGTGAATTATGTATGCAACTTGCTAACCAAGTTAGCTAGCGCCAGCCTCTCCTCCAAATATTGTCTAGTTCTAAAAAAGCAAGATGGCAACGGTAGTCCACAAACCATGTCATGGTGGCTATGTCCACTTCTTTTATCCATTTGCTTTATTTCGTTTTTTGCTGAAATGATTGATTTAACCTTTATTTAGAGTGTTTTCACAGAGCATTTAAGAGGAAGAGCTATCCAGGAAAGGCTATCACTTACAGGTGAAAATATGTGTACAGTATGTGTGCCTGCACCGTCTGCTTGTGTGCTTATATGATTGATTCTGAAATCGGGGATGCCACGTTCAAAGAGCACTACTATCTATTCTTGCCACCCCCCCCCGACACAAACACTTTGCCATTAGTATCACTCACCATTAGATGCTGTGAAATCGATGGCCACTGTGAAATTGATCTGCGTCCTAGAAGGGGGATAGAGAAGAGGACATGGAAGAAAAACCCCCGACAGAGACCAACCAGCAATGACAACATGACAGGCCTCATTAAATTTCAGTACTCTTACATCTAGTCACACACGCATATTTTCTGATACAAGAAAAGATGATACCTAAAATGGAGGCACATCGTACATAAATTATGGCAATTATTTCTTATGATGATATAGTTACAAACAGATCAATATTTAATTATTATTTCTTGTCTTTTTCATCTGAGTTAAGACACAAAGTGCGGCCTCTTAGTTGTCAAATAAGATTTAAGTGATTGCAATCCGCTGTTTGTCTGATTTTCACCTCCGTGAGACGGAGTAGCAGGAGGTACTGAGGAGCCTTTGAGACACTGAGCTGGGTAACAAGCAATTAGACTGATGGAGCACTTAAGAACAAATCATAATCCAATTTTCCCTGCTGGTGAAACACTCCCCTATTCTTGTTAATTTACGACAAAGAGACAAGGCCTTTGGGGGCCCGAACGACAGCCTCTCATTATCTATGAGAGCCACCGGAGAGGGAGGCAAAAGAATGATAATAAAATGGACACGTTAAAGATTTACATTAACCTTTCCGTTTGGGATGGGGATGAAGAATATGCCACAGTCTGACTCTCCTAACCTTAGCATTAATTAAACCTGATTTTATTCATTCATGAGGACCCTTGAATGCATCACTATCTCTGCATGGGAAGGCAGGCTTGCAAACTGTACATCTGCACCAGGAAATGGGGTGCTTTTCACTGTGAATCTCTTTTTTTTCTTCAGTTGAAATTTTAGGGTTCATGTACACTCTGCGTATGTGTGTAAGTTTGAGTGTGCATGAGCCTTTGAGCTAAATGTCAGTATTAAAAAAAAAAAAAAGAAGCTCAGACTCTTGTCATTCTGTTAAACCCCTCACCCGCTGAACCCGTAGAATGAGCCTTCTTGACACTTTGTCTTGTTATGTAGTAGTTTAACTCTCGATTCTCCCATCTGCTTCTTTCCTTATTTCCTGCTGCTGTCTAACACAACTACAGTGCAGCAACAGTTACATTATGTTTTTCTCTGTGGCCAAATTTGAGTAAAATATCAACTTTTGCTGTAGTTTTACTATCATTTTTTAAACCATCACACACTCACCTTTTCTGTTATAGATTTCCCTTTTAAAATGCTATTTCATCTACTTCATCCTAATTTTAAATTCTAGGGAAGTAAAAGCTAATGTTTTTCAAATTATTAACCTGATACAAGTGCACTGAACCAGTCAGCACAGAGAGATGGCCCCTATCATTATATTACAAGCATATTATGTCTTCTTGTCCCTTATCCTGAGCTGTGTGAGAGTGCAAAAATCAAATTCTGTGACATTTAATATCACCTCAGTCAACACTGAGGTGAAATACAATTGAGTTATTTTAATAGCCAACTTTTTATTTGTCAAATAAGACATGAAAGCTCCCAGAGTTCACTTTGCATCATGATCAAAGCCGTAACACCAAGTATTACAGAAAAGTGCTTTAACAGCTAGAGCAGAAAATATTTTTTACATACGGTGTTTCTCCTGTTTGCTGTGAAGAGCTTGGGCAGTTCCTAACTTTCATCCATTTTCTAAAGAGCAAAAGGCTCCACGTTTACAAGAACCAACTCTCGCATCATTCACTAAGTGCCAGAGGGTAGGGGCCAGACTGATGAGGGTGATATTTTTTAAGTGAGGCCACTAAACCTAAGGTTATTGTATCGCAGATCAGCCAAAGCCAGGAGCTGTCAGTGAAATCTGTCACACTTGTCAGCTCTGCCACAGCCCATAAAACCCATGACCACATGACATGTGATGGGACAATGGAGTTAAAAGTGCAGTCCCACTTGCCTGAAAAGCACACTTCACCTGAAACATACTTGATATTCACATGTCATCCAGCTCTAAATGCCACTGCACTGTGAAGATAGTTTGGCCTTAGCTAGCTCATTTAAAATATGCTTGAAACTTACTACAAACAGCACCTGTGAACTTCAGTTTAACAAAGTTCTGGTGCAACCACATGAAAGATAAATGGATAAAGATATATGCATTTTAATAAAAAGTTTAATGAAGGCTCTAGAGATATATTATATTCTCAATTTACTAGCAAGACGACTTTCTATAATAATTTAATAATCATCAGGATTTATGAAACAGTGCAGCTTAATTATTATTTTAGTACACTAGTTTTGGCCATAATCGCTATCGGTAATTAATCAGAATTATGCTTTAAAGCTGCTATAAGCAATATTTTCATCTTAACAATTGCTCAAATGACTACGTGACTACGGTTAAAGGAGTCAATTTTAATGAAAGATCCACAGAAAGTTATCAATGAACTCTGTGTTTTAGTGTGTTTAAGCTCATTGTTTAGGTTTTACGGCCCACAACTTGTTTGGTTCAGTCTCACGCGCCATTCCAGATACAGCAAGCAGTTCTGATAAAACCACTGTATGCTATCTGCCTAGCTCCGAATGGCATACAGATAAAGTTAGTGGCCAGCTGATTAACAAATAGTGGAGTATTTAACAGCTAAAGAGCCAGATATCTCTCTCAGGAGTTGGTGGAAAGTAAAACATAGCTGAAAGGAGAGTGATAATTTAACTTACATTTGCCATGCCAATGCTGCTCAGATGTGTGAATAGTAGGGGTGTGACGAGACACTTAACCCACAAGATCGAGACGAGACGAGATTTTAATACTATTTTGAAGAAATCTTTAAAGCTGAATTATATGAAAATTTTGAGCATTAAACACTTTATTTCCTGCATTCTGATGAATTTTTCTGCACCAGTTTATGGTGATTTTTAATTTTATTTATGTAAAGAGAAACACAAAATTCAGGTGGCCGGTGACGATTCAAAATCTATAACCTAACTATAATATAAGTCAGATCTGTTTCTCCTGTAGATCATCTTATTTAATATCATCCCTGCTATTCACAGGCTCCGCCCTCTGCTGGACTCTATGGGTACTACCTCCTCCAATCACATGCACGCACTTGCCCACTGAAAGTTTATCGTGCACATAGCCGACCAATAGGATGCCGCTACTGATACGTGCGTGACGTATAAATAGCAGTGTCCCTACTGCCTCAGCATCCTTTTTTCTTCAGCAAGGGTGTGAGACGACAGCGACCGGTATTGTGTCTCTCGGCGCCTCAGTAGGACTTGCTGCATGCGTTGGTGGCTCTAATATCTGCACCTTATGAGCCCCTGGAGCAGTCCTCATTGAAAATGCTATCTCTGAACAGACCCACCCTTAGCAGTGGGTGCACATTCCACTCGGAAGTGTGGAACTGTCTACGACCCTTTTTCAGCTGGGTGTGTGTCGAAGAGATCTGCACTATGGCATCTTGGCCCTTACTGTGCCCGTTTGTGCGTTTCTATCTCTTGGGTATGTCGGGCTCCTTCTCGGGATCCAGCTCACAAGTGCGACCTAGGATTTGAAAAGTGAGGATCTGGTGACTACTGGGTGTAGAGGGGGAACATACACTGGCAGTGCCTGATGTTTCAGTGAGAAGTCAGGGCAGTGCAGGTGTTAATGGTCAGTCCAAGCACCTAGCGACCTTCTCAGGGGTGTCCCACCATTCTGTCACTAGGTGATGTGGTGGTTGGGGCTTTGGCTGGCCTGTGGCCGACCGGGTTGGTGTGGTGGACTTTGGCTTTTCTTTCTTAGAGGGCGGAGCCTGTGTGAGATAGAAATAAGGTTACGATATGGTAACCCTAGTTCTATAAGCACAGGCGGAGCCCTCTACCGATGAGCCCTGCCGCTCTGATGCCGTCTGCTGAAGAGGCGGTCGGATGCTGAGGCAGTGTGGACACTGCTATTTATATGTCATGCACTTATCGGTAGCGACTTCCTATTGGTCAGCTACGTGCACGATAAAATTTCAGTGGGCAAGTGCATGCACATGATTGGAGGAGGTAGTACCCATTGAGTCCAGTAGAGGGCTGTGCCTGTGCTTATAGAACTAGGGTTACCATATTGTAACCTTCGATTCATGATTAGGGCTTAAACGATTCGAGTCGTTTAATCCATAACTATATAGCACACTGTTTCGCACGGACAATCATTACTGTCGCACTTCGTGCTTAGAGAGAGAAAATAGTGATGTATGGGATTATTTCAAACTGTAATTTTATTGTCTGTCCGACGTCAAGCATCCATCCATCCATCCATCGTCAACCGCTTATCCTGCTTGCAGGGTCGTGGGGGACTGGGCCGTCAAGCAAAAGTACTTAAACGATGCACTGATGAATTGATAAAATCTGTAGAAGCTTCGAGTACTAAAATCATTGTTAGCTGCAGCCCTATTCATGATTTAGTCTACCTTCCTCTTTGTATCTTTGTTTGGGGAAGTAACCTCTTTAAATGTGACTGTGGCACCTTTTCACCATAATGATAAATTATTTTATTTAAATTTAGTTATAAACTCCTGGACTTTAATAGCTCCTGTGTTTCAGCAGATTTTCTGCCCATGGTCAATACTTTCTGCACATTCACAATCTCTCCCACATAGGCTATCTGTGTTCTCTTACATCCAGAGAAAAGGCAGAATATTACCAGACTAACGTCATCATTTAATGAGAAGTCTAGCTAGAAGTCTAGCAGTGCATTATGTTATTTATTCGTTGGTAGTAATGTTATCCCCTTCAGACCGTTTGACCGACGCAGTTTGGCACTACATGTTGAAACCGAAAGTTAATCTCACCACAAATCCACACACGTTAACTTCCAGTGCAGCTCACAGTCCTAAACAGAGCAGGCTGTGCTTCAGTTTTTAGATGTTTATGTTGCAAATCTCTACCAGCTACATTACCACTCGTCACAGCTGTCTGGACCATTGACTGTATATAAAAAGGTCTGGACTCACAGCACGGGTGGGTTCAGCTGATTACTATCATAGTCACGCCCTAGTGAATTGGCAATAGTTTGCTAACATGCTAGCCATAATAACTTTATAAGGCGATAATATGTCGATGTTGTGTTGACACTGCCCCCAAGTGGCCAAAAAAAAAAATCAATAAATGCAGTAGAACAAGGAAACTGTATTTATGTTCTCATCCTACAGGTAGTGTGAACAAAAAACCTAACCAATAAAACCATCACAGTTGTTTTAAGTAGTTCTGCCCCTCCTATCAAATTAAAAATGATTTCTCTCCTTAACTGGGGTGGTGATGGTGTAGTGGATAATATGCATGTCTCTGGTGTGAGACACCTGGGTTTAATCCCCCACTCTGACATTGTGTCCCTGAGCAAGACACTTAAACCCTAGTTGCTCCAGAGGCATGCGACCTCTGACATATATAGCAGCTGTAAGTCGCTTTGGATAAAAGCGTCAGCTAAATGAATGAATAAATGTAAACTGATATTCCATTGGTTTACACTTGAGAATGAAATCTTGTTATGTTTAACCGCATTAAGTTTCTTAACGTAAGTGAGTAAACTTTATTTGTAGAGCGCTTTTCACAGACGTAGGTCACAAAGTGCTTCACAAATAATTAACATACAAGAAATAGTCAACACATGCAGACAGTCATTCCCACTCACCCTCCTTTGATGTAATCTAAGAATGTGAACTCAGACTCCACTGAGAACGAAAGCAGGGTCACCTGGAATTAAAGACGAGGAGAAAAATTTTAAACATGGATTTAATTATTAATTTCTCCTAAATACAAAAAGGACTCCACATCTTGGTGTGGTTCAGCACACGACACTTTGGTAAAATATGTGAGACTGATGACTGATTAATTTACATTGCCGGACGCATGGTTCGAATTACAGGGGGGATTCGGGGGGTTGGACCCCCCGAAAGAGGCAAAAACAACAGTTCAGGGGGGTCTTTCTTACCTGTCATTGTAAATATTTCAAAATATTTCCCATACTCATGCCTTTTGGATGAGATGCCTTTTTATGCATTACTTGCACATGCCCACACTGCTAGGAAAGTTGTGTGAAAATTGGTGTCTTAATTGGCCATTGGTATCGCCCACTCTGACGACTCAGATCTTATGTCCTTGAAGTTTTGCAGCGCCTTCATCTTTCATTTGGTCTGCCAACCAAAGTATACATCTTGCATAGTCACTTACAGTACCAAATATTGTAGTATATAATGCAAAATGTATATGTTTGTGTGTGTGAAGGTAAAAAAATAGGTAAGCATAGGTGAGTTATTTTGTTTTGGCTAAATGTCAGAACTACAGTTGAATCAACAAAGCCTATTATTTTGCAAATGTTTTAATTACTTAGTGTGTGATATGCAAATTAATGAGGAAATCTACTTCTGTTTTTTTCCCACAACTTAGAAAGCACAGATTGGCATCTTCTTCCAATCAGCACTCGCATGATAATTAGAGGGAATAATTTAACAGATGAAAAGTAGGTGTGGAACTGAAAAGAGGCACAGTGCCACTCCTGGTTTGCTGCTAGAGCATTACTCACTGTTCCAGAGTTGACATATTTCTTTTTCTTCATTTTCTTCTTGGTATTAATCACCTAAGAAATAAACAACAAGAGATACAGGTGATTTTAACCTCCAAAACTGCTTAGAATTGATATTGTGGCTTTGAAGCAATTATAATACATATGCATTTTTTATTCAAGATAGGTACTATTCACATACATATTTGTATATGAAATAGACATTACTATATGTACATATGCTGTATACAGGTGTGTACACCAGTGCCAGTTATTCAACATTTGAATTTTTGTTTTAGTTTTGCTAGTGGTTTCAAAATATGATAATAATTAAAAAACCTAATAATTAACAACAATTGTAAGAATTATGTTACATATCCATCTTAAAAAACTGTTTTCAAAACCAGACTAGGCTCTTCAGCTGAAAATGTTTAAAGGAAACTCTGGTACAACCAGTCAACCTGTAATGCATCCAACCAAAATACTGCATTAGAAGTGTATAATCATAAAACTCCTTATAATTTCTTGTTTGCTGGATTTGGCTAGTAACTATGAGTTTTACACACATTAAGAACATTTAGAATTCCTATTACTTATCTCACCCTCTTTTACATACCGTTTCACACCCTGTTATTTTAATATATTATTCCTTCCTTATTGAAATATAGGGAAGTCGAGTATGTGGCCAACATGAGGCCATTTCATAGAGGTATGCAATTTGTAGGCAGGATAAACAATGAGCTGGTCCATGTGTCTGCCATATTAAGGAAGGAAAGGGTGTGTGTGCATGAAGTAACACATTGGGCATTAGGGGAAAGCGTAGCTCATGTAAGATCACTTATAAACACTTAATATAGAAACACTTCATCTTGCGTTTACACGTCACTCACACTATTAAAGAAAAAAAGTCTGGAAATTCAAACACAAGTCTGAGGCTACGGAGAATCGATGGTTGAGATAGGCCTAAGCTACAAGACTTTACAAGAATTCCAAGAATTTACATTAGTGGTATTACATTGGCTCCAGAACAAGAGAGAAATGTCAATCCGGAGATGTCTCAGCTCATTACCTCATTTCTCTATGGCTGCTAGGCATGAAAGTGACAGCCCCTAATTTAACATAGAGGGATGGCAATTTGTCTGACACACTGAACAATCTGCTGATGCAAAAACTAAAGGGCCTTTCAGTCTCGCTGGGAGGTTGAGAGGAATCAAGAGTAGCGTATAATGAAGCTGACATCCAAAAGACAGGTATTTGTCCTTTTGCTGAAGGCCACCACACCACAGAGGCATGAGGGTATTGGCATGTCCTCATTTTATGTAAGATTTTGACTTTCAGATTGGTGAGATTGAAACTTTTTTTAGGGTTGATCTTCAATGGTAGCCTCAAACTCAAAATCTTATAACTGAAACTGTAAAAACTTTTGTTCTTAAAACGAACAAAGTTATTATTGTAGGGGATTTTAATATTCATGTGGACGTTGAGAATGATAGCCTTAGTACCGTGTTTATCTCTCTTTTAGATTCCATAGGCTTTTCATTCAAGTGTTCATGATAACTTTTGAGTTTGTATTGCTGAACTACACGCCATTGGGCAAAAACATCTATACAAGATGTCTGTCTGATAGTGCTGTAGCTAAATTTAACGATGCAATTCCATGAGCTCTAAATTCATTATCAGATCACAAAGTAACGGAGGACTCCTATGCTAAGTCCCTCCCAAGTCGATCATCTTGTTAATAGTGCTGCAGGCTCGCTGGGAATGACACTCGACTCTGTAGCCCCTCTGAAAAAGAAAATACTAAAACAAAGACGGTTAGCTCCATGGTATAATACCGAAACTTGCAAATTAAAGCAAATAGGAATTGGCGTTCCACCAAACTGGAAAATTCTCGTTTAATTTGGCAAGATAGTCTTAAAGCTTATAGGAAGGCCCTCCGTAATGCTAGAGCAGCGTATTACTCGTCATTAATAGAGGAAAGTAGGAACAAGCCCAGGTTTCTTTTCAGCACTGTAGCCAGGCTGACAGAGAGTCACAGCTCTATTTAGCCAAGTATTCCCATAGCACTCAGTAGTTACAACTTCATGAGCTTCTTTAATGATAAAATTCTAACTATTAGAGACAAAATTCACCAAGACCCTCAATCTTTACCAACTAATTTCAATAATTTCTTCATCTAAACCATCAACCTGCCTCTTAGACCCCATCCCGACTAGGCTGCTTAAAGATGTTTTACCCTTAGTCAGCACTTCTATACTAGTTATGATCAATCTATCTTTATCAACAGGCTATGTACCACAGTACTTTAAAGTAGCTGTAATTAAACCTCTTCTGAAAAAGCCCAACCTTGGTCCAGATGTTTTAGCCAACTATAGACCTATATCTAACCTTCCATTTCTCTCTAAGATCCTGGAGAAAGCAGTTGCCAAACAGCTGTGTGACTTTCTACATAGCAATAGTTTATTTGAGGATTTTCAGTCAGGATTTAGAGCTCATCATAGCACAGAGACAGCACTGGTGAAAATTACTAACGACCTCCTTATTGCATCAGACAAAGGACTTGTCTCTGTACTGGTTTTATTAGATCTTAGTGCTGCATTTGATACCATTGACCATCAGATCCTATTACAGAGACTGAAACATTTCATTGGCATTAATGGAACCGCTCTAAGCTGGTTAAAGTCCTATTTATCAGATCGATTTCAGTTTGTACATGTTAACGATGAATCCTCCATGCACGCCAAAGTTAGTCATGGAGTTCCACAAGGAGCTGTGCTCAAGGACCGCCTTTTTTCACATACGTAATATTGCGAAAATCAGGAACGTCCTGTCTAAAAATGATGCAGAAACTGCAATTCATTATTATCAGGCTGCTCAAAAAAGTCCATTAAGACTCATCAGCTGATCCATAATGCTGCAGCACGTGTTCTGACAGGAACCAGGAAAAGAGATCACATTTCCCCTGTTTTAGCTTCTCTGCATTGGCTTCCAGTAAAATCCAGAATAGAATTTAAAATCTTTCTTCTTACCCACAAAGCTCTTAATCGTCAGGCACCATCTTATCTTAAAGAGCTCATAGTACCTTACTACCCCACCAGAGCACTGCGCTCCCAGCATGCAGGGTTACTTGTGGTTCCTAGAGTCTCCAAAAGTAGAATGGGAGCAAGGATATTCAGCTACCAAGCACCTCTCCTGTGGAACCAGGTTCCAGTTTGGGTTCAGGAGGCAGACACCATCTCCACATTTAAGAGTAGGCTTAAGACTTTCCTCTTTGATAAAGCTTATAGTTAGGGCTGGCTCAGGTGAGTCCTGAACCATCCCTTAGTTATGCTGCTATAGGCCTAGACTCCCGGGAGACTTCCCATGATGCACTGAGCTCCTCTCTCCTCTACTTTCTCTCCCTCTGTATGCAACCTCATCCCATAATGCATGTTACTAACTCGACTTCTCCCCTTTCCCGTAGTCTTGTGCTTTCTCGACCCTCTCCTCTCTCCTCCATATCACTTCCTGCAGGTGTTTCTGGCTCTGTAGCTGTGGAATCTGGATCTGTGGTTGCGAGTCACCTGCTGCCCCCGTGTTCCTGCTCGACACCCTCTGTTACAATTATTGTTACTAGTCCTATTGATATTATTGTTATTATAATCGTTAACATTACGATTATTATCATTAACACTATTGTATATATCTGTACCATTTTTCATTTAGTCTATAGCAACATCACCTTCACTGTCTGTACCTCTTTGTGTATATTGTGTAGTCTGCCTCCCTCACCTCTCTCTCTCTCCTTCCATCCCTCTCTCTCTCTCTCTCTCTCCTTCACCCCCAACCGGTCGAGGCAGATGGCCGCCCACCCTGAGCCATGGTTCTGCTCGAGGTTTCTGCCTCTTAAAAGGAAGTTTTTCCTTGCCTCTGTCGCCTAGTGCTTGCTCTTGGTGGGAATAGTTGGGCTTCTGTAAATAACATCACAGAGTACGGTCTAGACCTGCTCTTTTATGAAAAGCCCTGTGAGATGACTGTTGTTGTGATTTGGTGCTATATAAATAAAATTGAATTGAACTGAAACATTTTCTAATGAATTAACACAATAAATTCTGTTCTGGACACACCCATGTCATTTTCAGGCATTGCCCATCAACCTTGGATTCTGGCAATAGACATTTAAATGAGCTGGGTTTGTAATTTGCACACAGAGCTGTATCGTGTGCTATTAAAAAACACGGTAAGCTGTCCCTTGAGAAGTGCTGAGAAATGGCTATGATCATTTTAAATCCCTGGTTTGTTCTCCTAATAATCCTGTTTCATGCTGCTGCTAATAGCTCCATTTATATGTGTCAGCATCCAGGTGATTATCATGGAATAATAAATCTCTAAGTTTGAAAAGGAGAACATGGGCAGGAGAAATATTTAATTGAATGTATAACTGCTTGGGGGAAGCTGGGGAGACGTGCACAAATGATTTACAAATGCCCTTTAAAGAAATGAAATAGGAATGTATGGAATACAAAATGCAAAGGAATGTGCTAGAGTAATGGAAAACAGTGCAACAGTGACGTCAGAGATAGAAATGTCACTCGTGTCAAAAATAGGATCCAAGACGCTCAGCGTAGAGGGATTTCAGATCCCGGGAGCCAACAGGCATGTTGTTGAACTGTGAAAACACTGGAATTACTCACCTCGTACACATTGAACTGACTCTGCCCTCGAGCTAGCTCTCTGTAGCTAGTCGTAAAATCCCCAATGAAGTCGTGGCTGGGAAAAGGAGTAAAAGAAAAAAAGGACCAGCAGTAAGAAAAAAACATCACACAAACACCAGGAGTGATGTTTGGGACAAGATGGAACTTTGGGACAGAAAATCAGTTCCTCGGGTGAATATTTCTGAAATACTTTGTTCACGTTTAATATTCACATGTAGTTCTTATTTTTCAATAAAACATAGGTAGTTTTTTTTAAATTAGATGTTGAATTGCAGGTTAAAGATTCCTCAATTCAATACCAGGAGTGTCATCACCATCAGTGTCATTGTGGCAATCAGACTCACCTGCCATCCCTGTCCCAATCGTACACCTCCACCTTGATTGTTCTGGGGGGGAAAAATTCAGACATACACACAGTCAGCTTAGATTTTAACGTAACATGCTAGTTGGTGAACACTCTTACCACAAGGTCTTTTTTAGGAGCTCGTTGTGTGTGCTTTCAATCATATCACATGATCTTCCTTATTAAAAGGTGTTTTGAGTGAGTGAGGTGAGTTGTGATGGCATTATAAATGTGGAAACCAACTGGGATGAGAAGTCCTAAAAATGTGCTCAGAAAAATTTAAATTTAAACATCAACAGACACTCATTTAAGCATAACTGTATGAGCCCGTCGGCAGAAATGATTTTATTTGAACAAGAGAAAGTATATTTGAGCACCTTTCAGCTCACTAAGCTGAAACATTGCTGGGTCCTCCTATCTGTTAGTTCCATAGTGACTCCATATTGTTCAGTGAGTGGCAAGGCTTGGGCGATATTTGGGATCAGACTAGTCTGCTCAGAAACTGATATTTTTTGTACTAGGGGAGGGATTGATTTTTCAGTCGACAGCATGGTGAGACAGCAGGTCTCTAATTTTGGCATCAGAAACATTTACAGCCATTTTACTAATGTAGCAAAGTCTTCTGCTGCTTCAAAAAACATTTTAAAGTGCCCTCTGGAGTTTTGTATAAACACACTGCTCAAAAGGGGAACACTTAATCATCACAGTATAACATCATGTCAAGTAAACTTCTGGGATATCTGTCCAGTTAGGAAGCATAAGCAAATGTGAATTAGTGTCACCTGTTTTGGTGCACCATGTGGATTTGCTGCACTTTGCCATGGATTTATAAACGGGAACTGGATGCACGCTACATTCTATGAAAGTGGTGCATGAAGCCAAAAAATTAACCTGATCTTCTGCATAACTTCTGCATCTGTGTTGTGTCATCATAACTTGTGCATCAAAGCTATAACACAAGTGTGCTAGCTTTTCCTTTAACCCTGCCTCTCAATCACTTTGTAATGCGGTGCAGTCCTATGGCTCTGATGCCTATAAAATAACTCCAGATTTGGTTATTAATGCTTGTGGGATCCACAAAATCAATTAAAACAGATGTCACTTTGTTCTAAAATTGGATTAAGGCGGAGCAGCTGGCTGCATCTTGCAAGAGAAAAAGTCAACTTGTATAAGCACTCCATCCAAATACTGTTACTTGCAAACTGCAGCGCATGTTAACTTCCATCATTCAAATGAACATCAGAAAGAAAAGACACTGACGACATTTTAAACAAATGCAGCAGAAACAATGTCTCAGCAGAGCGGAGAAAAAAAACACAAAACTTTCTTGGCACTTTCATTACTGAGTCAGATTGATCTCACCCCCATGTCTCCCCTCTCTCCCCACTTCGTCTTACACAAGTACTGACACCAGCCCAGATCCAAAGAAAATAGAAGCAAGTGGCACATCAGAGACTCTTTCCTGTCACTGAGGAATTGAAAGATCCCTGAAATAAGCCCAACTTCCTCCCTGCCACCTGGCCCCTGTCGGTCTGTGGTGACAGTTTGTTCTTTTGAGGTTATCTTCAAGGCTGTGAGCTAGAGAAAATGTGCTTGACACCTAGGTGGTAGAAACACGATGCTTCTCTTCCACTGTGGAAAAAGAGAGGCACTAGGTGGAGGTAAAATAGATACGGAAAGATAATCGCATCAGAAACACAGAAAAGAAGGGAACGGCAGAGACCAATCTACACACAGTGCTGATGCTAGTGGTGGTGCAGTTTTAGTGCACATCAATTTACTCAAATAAAACCAGGAACATGTCATCATGCCGGCTCAAAGCCTTTGCCATCATTTTATTTCTAATCCTAACTTTACAGCTGCTTCAAAGGACTCAGATGCTCAGATCCTTAAGTGGCCCCTTGAACAATATACACTTCAAAACTAATCTTCCACAGATATCTTTAGCTACTATTCTAAGGCATCTTTAATGAACATGACTCATTTTCAGTAATGGAGGTGCATATAATTGAGGCGAAAAAAGGAGACTGAACAATTCTTCAGCACCAATTACACAGATCTGTCTGTAATCTTTTGCCAGGGATGAAAATAGACGATGTTTGGGTCACCCGGGCAAGTTGTTAATGAGAGAGAATTGATATTTTTGATGTTTATAATGAATAATTAACATTAAAATACATACCTTATACACAGACGAAACACAGGGGATGTGAAGGATGTGTATATATAGAAAGATGGATTTTTCTTCACACATTTGTTGTTGAGCAGAATACACAGCAACTTGGAAGCATCTTCCATTTCCCTCCTCTCTCTTCACATTCCCTCATCTTCGTCTCCTTGACTTACTCGTCTGGAACAGGGTCTTTGACATATTGGATTTCTCTTTCTCCGTCTACAACACTGCAAGTATACTTGCCTTTGCTGCCTCTTATCTGTTATTCTCCTCTCCTTCATTTCTCCTCCTGTCCTCACCCCCTATCCCTTTCCCTACTTTCTTTCTCTCTTCTTTGCCAAAATGTAGTCTGTTGCTTCCTGAGCAGAGTGTATGTATGTATGTATGCAGGCATGGATTTTTTCAAGGATACCTCAAATGCTCGCTGTCACCAGAGACTGAAGTGGATCCTGCCACTTGAAGGACAGCTTGCCTAATCACTGCGCCACCCTGTCGCCAGCCAACAGAGTTGAAAGGTGAAGGTGTTTTTATCCTTGTCTGCGTGTTTTCAAGATGTTTTAAAAGGTTACCAGCAGATCTGACTAAAATATGGTAGACAGATAGCCTTTGGCGATGGTTCAGATCTGGGATTTCCGAGTGTTGTTTCCTAGCAATAACAAGCAACACCTCCCCAATGACAGATTTTGTGCAGCAACACTTTTGCACAGTCCACTCTAGCCTTTGTTCAGTGTTGCTGCACATTGTTATGGATGTTGGATGGAATAATTTTTTTCTCTGTAACAAAAAGTTCTTTGTAACGGTGGTCATTAGGGATGCACTGGTCCCACTTTTTCTGTCCTAATACTAATACGGAAAGTAATTTTATTGGCCAACACCAGGTACTGATCCAATGCCAGAGCTCTTTTTCGATTTAAAATCTGTATTCTATACCTCACCGTGTGAAACTTTTCATCATTTTATGTGTGAAAGATGAGGCTCTAACTACACCTCACTTCTTAACTATGAAAGGAAATGTGAATACACCATTATTCCTATTGGGCTTGTGCAAATTTTAATTACATTGTTCTTGAAGGTTTGTAAGTTGTTACAGAACAATTTTCAGTAAACTATATTTTATGGGAATTTATCACATTTGGATACCTGATCTGCTTAATAATATCAGGTATGCCGCAGATGCCAATGTATTTGATCGATACATCTCTCATGGTAATGTGACATATAACTCTTGGATATCTTGCTTATTGCGGGGCCAGGTTATATTGAGAAATATGCTGGTGAAGTTTTTATTTTATTTTGTAAAAAAAACTTGCCCCCCTCAACTATAAGTGCTTATAAAGCAGAAGTCCAACACCTTCATCATTTCTGGCTAAGAAAAGTTTTCAAATAAATTATGATGTCTTTTTAAGTGTTAAGTGGGTTTTTTTTTAAGGTGAGTTAACAAAAAAAAAAATCAAAGTACACGTCAAATTTTTACTCCTAAAAAGAGGGTTTCTGTCGTTTTAGATCATTCTTATCACAATGGTGTTTGTTCAAGTGTTAATTTTTCTTTGTAAGTTTGGTTTTAATTTGGTATTGGATGTTATAAAATAGGGGTTTCACATCATGATTGACAGTTGAGCCCTGCTCGTGATTGAGTCAGACAGATGAGTGGGACCTTGACACTGTAGCTCCAACCCTGTTCGATGATGCTTAGACTCTGGCTCCAAATGATGTAACCAGCGCAAGATCGCAGCACTGGTATTCAGGATATTTTGACTTCATTTTTGCACAGTGGAGATGCGCCGCCCATATTTATATACAGTCCATGGTTGGGATGCACATCCTTGTTTTTGTTAACAGCACTTTACACCAGGCACAAACAAGATGCAACACCACACTGGCCAGGCCAGACAGAATAAATAAAGTGCAGATGTCAGTGATTTCTTTAGAGTTGGTTCCATCCACATCCCACAAGGACGTTAATTGTTTATAATGGACTGAGTTGCTGAGAGAGACCGTGGAACTGAAATGCAAAATTAGTTTTTCCATCTTCTGACTTGAGAGTTTGACAGTTCCATAGATACAATTCTGAAGTGCGCAATCTCCCACATACTTGAAGGAAAAAAAGAAGAAAGTGGATATCACATCAGAGTAAATAGCACTTTGTTCCAGCAGGCGGAATAGAGTGCAGCACTATTTTTCAGGTGTCTATGGTATCAGTGCTTTTTTGTCTGGCTCGAGAGAGAAAGTCATGCAATCGGCTGGAAGGATGCGTCGCCTCTCTCAGCAGAGACATTGCATCTTCCATTCTTTGTTCCTTTACAGATATCAGACGAGAGAGCAGAGTGCCTCTTTTGGAAATGCCCTTTGTTGAACTCGCTCCAACTTCTCCTTTTGCCCTGTGGTGCATCTAACAAGAGGTACATGTCCAAGCTAAAGCACTGATCTAATTAGAGCAAAGTAAATCAGCAGTAGGTCATCCACTGACACACTTGAGCGGGGCTAGTACTCTCAATAGATATAGGTGTTTCAATGCCTTCTCCAACATGCGCTGGGCTTGGGGCTTGGAGTGAGAGAGAGCAGAGTAAGTGCCAACCCAGATAACGAGCAATTGGAGTCACTGTCACTCCCTCTCCACCCAGATACAACAGCACACACATAGTAACATGCTTTTATACATGTAATCTGTATCTTGTCTTGTCTTGCTATTTAGAGTCATATCATTTTCCAACCGCAGAAAAATTGAACAGCAGCCTTCTACAGAGACAAGTATGATTTTCCTCTATCTATGACATGAGGATTCTCCGTTGAGCGTTTAATGTGAATTAACATTAGCAGTCTTTAGCATCACATATAAAGGGAACATGTTAATGTTCATACAACCATAGTTTTTATACTATGTAAGATACAATTATGTATCTTGCATAAGTTGCCGACATCAAAACAGGGAGGAACCGTCCAGAAAATACTTATAATATACCTTTAAATACAAGATTAAAAATTTAAATTATGCTCCATGGAAACAATCAAGATATTAACGCTTAGGCAGGCCATTCTTTTAAGAGACATTTTTTGTTATACCGTATTTGTTAAAATTCTCTTTACATCCCGTCAGCAATCAAGAAATCAAATGCTTTGATACAAAAATGACAAGAATCCTGAATCTGATTTGACGTGATGGTGGAGAGCATGTCACCATACGTATGACAAGAGTCTCTGAGGGTGGACATTTGGATTCAGCCTTTGGCGAGAGCTCTTTCGGTCCTGCAGTGAACCAAAACCACAAAAGGAAACAACAATAGTCTCTCTTTCAAACACCTTGTTCATACCAGTAAGTACGGGACATTCGGTCAGGACAGCCAGTCTCTAATTATTAAGGCAAAGCTTATTTAAGTCGACAAACTGATCTTTATCAGCTGAAAGAATATGATCTTAGAGAGTTTAAACATATATACTTTTGACACATGTAATAGAAATTGGTCTGAACTGATTTAGTCCTTTTTCATAGGCACCACATTAGCACTTTTTAAATCACTGGAAGCTTTCCCTCAGTTGATGGATGTAAACAGTAATTACATAGATCAAAAGCATTGACAGCCATTGGAGCTGTGTTTGTTGCATGAATACAGTTCTGATGATAATGTACCATCACATGGGTTGAAAAATGTGTTTTATTTGTGAGTCTCAAGAACTATATAATTAAAAGGACAGACAGACAGACCTTCCCACTCCTCCCTCATAAAAACATGGACACGAAAAAACAAGCCAACACTGACACAAAGTATATTCCTCACCCACGCACAAGTATATAACCTGTTTATAGCGCTGTCTTGGTGATATTTCAAGACTTGCAGCATTTCAGGCTGTTTCAGCTCGTGGCTTGTCACATTTTATTATCCTCGAAGTGTGGGCATGTGTGTGTCTGTGTGTGTGCATGTTTACATGTTAGCATAGCACAGGAACATTTTAGGAAGTGCCTTTGATGTCCAGCTCAGTCCCTGTGTATGATTGATTCTGACAGGGTAGTGACCCCTTTTCGAGCTCATGTGTGATTGACTTGCTCACACAATTTCACCTAATATTTCCCAAGTATCAAATACTTCTGGAGGCAACCCCATATATCTATGTGACAGCCCCTTCAGTAGTACTGTTCCTGTTTGGGATTCACCGTAGTTTTCTGAGCACACACCAGGTTCTCAGCGTTCTCAGTAATTAGAGTTTTAATGCGCACAAAGAAGATAGGACAGACACCTTTTGTGAGAAATACAGTATGCCACATGAAACATTTCCCCCCACAAAAGTAATCTGTCTGTCCCTCCTTTTTCATCTTCCCTCACAGCTCCTTCATGATTTAGCTTGTTTTCTTCCCAATGCTATCTTTTAAATTAGAGGCAGGCAGATAAGCTGGGAGAAAAATGAATTCATATTCTCTCTGACATGACGTGTCTACATTAATTATGTGCCACCTGAGAGGAGCAACCCATCATTACTTTAGATGTTCTGTCAGTAATGTAATCCATTGTTTTCTGGGGCCCAAAGCGTAAAAGCGACAAGATGATAAATAGATCAAATTATATAAAGAGTATTCAAAATATTTGCAGTTTTACTCCCTCATATTAATTTTCTTAATAATGTTTTTTTTCATCAACTTATCATTCGCCAAGCCATGGCCTTCTTAGTTACTTTTACAATGCCTGACAAGCTTTCTGTTCACATGCAGTTTGTAGTGATAACTTGGCGGTTATAACGTCTTTTTTGCCCTCCAAGGGAGCATTTTCCTTGGAATGTGACTGTGTATGAAAACTATGAATAGGTCCCAGACAAAAAGTTAGCATGTTCACAGGTTGACAATCCATTTAAGCCATGTAAATAAGGAGCAGCATTGTTCTTGTATTTCAAGTAAGAGCTTGGTATTTTATAAATAAAATGTGAGATCAAACCCATACTTCATTCTAACACAACCCTGTTTGGCTGCTTAGCTTTTCATATTTGAACAAATCAAAGATGATGCTTTACTTTTTCTATAATAGAAAAAAGGATTTCAAGATGAGTACTAATGAGCTGCTGCTTCCTCAGATAACACGTTTGGCTGGGGTTACTGGACTGTAAACATCCCGAAATCCAACAAAGAGCATGACAGTAGACTAATGTCAGACTCTGGTTCCAAATGATGTCACCAGTGCAAGATGGCTAGCGCCCATATTTAGAATTTGGACTCATTTTTGCGCAGTGGGAGGAAGTGGAGACGTCGTCTATCATCCATTTTTATATACTTTCTATGCAACAGTCCCATGCACACCCTTCAAATTGTGGCGAAATCCTAGTTACAGTTACTAAACTATGATTGGATTGCCGTTCGGGTCAGGGGTTTAATGAATGTCTATTTACACACTGTGTTACACTAGTACATTTATCTCTCTCAGAGATTATCTGAGGAGAATAGTGTTAAAAACAAAAACACCACGAGGAGGTCATTAGAGATTAGAGAGGCTCATTGTGGCTGACCCATGCTACTCTAGATCAATAACGAGGGATGTCCTGAGCACACATCAGCAGAAATAACGTGACAGAAGAAAGAATGGGAGGCATAACTCTGCACTATGTTGAACTTGTATTGATTTCTGCTGGTTTAACTCATTTACACCCTCAGGATGTAGTAATGGCTGTCATTTATCTACCGTTTGACAAAGATATTCTGATTAGAGTCATGAAGGAAGTCAATCAATGAAGGCAGAATATGTCATTGGGGAACCACAATGACTATTCAAAGTGTGTGTGCAAGTATTTGTGTGTGTGTGTGTGTGTGTATGTGTGATGAGGTAAAAACAGAGGGGATAAATGGTGCCAAGAGCAGCAGTGAAAGGATAAACAGCAGCTCTGGGGATCACAAAGTGTAAAGAACAGGGGAAGGTTGCATTGTACCTGTCGTAGTCTCCATTGCAGAGCGCTCTTACTGGGATAGTGAAAGGCTGCCACACTGGATTTAATGTGTTCTTCACCACCTCTGTTTTATGGCAGATAGTAAACCTAGGGGAGAAGGAGGAGGGAAGTTCGGAAAAGATATGTTCAAAAGAAGCAGAGATAATTATTTGTTAATTATTCACGACAGGGAGAGAGAAAGATATGCAAATAAGGGGAGGAGCATGCATCTGAAGAGACAGAGGCACGAGGAAAGACAATGTCAAATCCTACAGTGACAGGAGAGATGCTTTAAATAGGGCTGTACCCAGCTTTGTTTACTGCTTGGCCTGTCTCCCAGCTATATTGTATTTTAGACGACAGAGAATAATTTAATATTTCAGTCTGGCTTTTAAATCCTGTCCCTTGACCACAAGTGTGACAGTGATATGCAAATAGGTGCTCACAAACTCCTATCAAATACCCCCTCAAATGTCCTCTCGAAAAGCACCAATGCATATCACTTCTCTTTTTCTTTTTTCACCCAAAGCCTTGGATTACTTGCTCCACTAAGTGCCTCAAGCCTTTTATAACCCTGTTCTTCTTTTAGCCACACAGGCCTCTAATTTGTACCTCCCTCTTACACCAACAATGGATACCTCTGGCACATCTGTGGGGATCCATTTCCCCACCCTGCTGTGTATGAAAAAAAACAGAAAAGCTAGAAGACTAGGCTAATGAAGCACTTGCTAAAGCATCCCCGCCTAGATAGGGCTGACGCTGCCAGAACTACGTAGCCCCTTGGGAGGCTGAACAGCTCTCTGGGAAAGCGTGAGGAGATGGGTGTTATGCATGCCTACGTGAATTGCCACAGAAACTGAAAGTGTTTTTCTTTTTGATGGAAAAATGGAGATTGTGTTTTTTTTTTTGTTTTTTTTACAGTAATTGTCTCTCTTTCCTGTTTGCTCTCCTGGAGTCATTTATGTAAGGCATAGTCATGAGACTTGCGAACAGGATGCCTCTGTATGCAGCTTCTTAATACTGTACATACATTTCCATCCCTCCATACTGTATCTCTACTAATGCCCCCACTGTTTTAGTTCTTTACCAGATGATTTCCAGTTGACATTTTTGTTATGTTACTGTGATATTTATGATATTGTACTATAATTTTTCCCCCATGTGTCAAAATAGACTTTCGAGGCTTTCAAAGAAGCTAATTTATCCTGCTTTCAGACTAATATCAACTAATATCTGACGATGTTTTCTTACCATGGTGTTTGGAAAGCTTTTTGGTAACACAAAATGCAGAAACTGTTATTTAAGTGTGGTGTTTGATTGCAGTTACTTCACTGTACTAGGAATACATATCAGTGGAGTGTCTCAGGGGGCTTCCTCCAACAGCAATCCCCCAACAGCAGCAGCCCTCGCTGGTGCTGCCTTTTGAAAAGCTTGGAATGACGAAAAAAAAACACATCAAGCACTCACGTTCCATCCTCATTGCTTCTGTAGAAGACCATGAAAGGGTCTGACTTGCCAAAGAAGTCCTTCTTGTCTAGCTTGTTGGCACAGAACTGCATAGTGGCACTGTCCTGAAAAGACAGAAGAGGGGAGAAGTGTGAGGTAGGCTGGGGAGAGGGGTATATAATAAGTTCATTCCGATTAAAGAATGGAAGGTATTATTTATGTGGCCTATTTTGCTTTTCTTCCCCTCCTTCTCTTTTATCTTTATAGCTTACAGCGGGACAGCAGGTAGAGGCAGCTGTATCACACAACAAGATAATTTGTACCTACTGTATGTGTGTATGGGTGTGTTAAACCTTATTTAGAAACCCCATTTCCAGAAAAGTTAGGATATTTTCCAAAATGCATTAAAAACATAAATTCACGTGAACCTTAATTTAACTGACAAAAGTACAAAGAAAAGATTTTCACTGATTTTACTGACAAGCGTAACTGTATTTTGTCAATATTAACAAAGTTAAAAATTCATGCCTGCAACACTGGAAAATATTCCAACTTTTCTGGAACTGGGGTTCCTATATTTCCTGTTATTGTGAATATATTGTTTTTCACAGAAAAATAGAAAAGGTGGAAGATACTTTATTTGATTAACATCAGAGCAACTAGTATGTTAGGACAAATAAGTCAATCCAAGGTAAACATATGTGTAGATTAATCCACTCAACCACTGCAATAATAGCCAAACTAGCAGACCTGTGAGGCTGTAATGGTGGTGACACACCAGAAAATCTTTACTTATAATGGGGGGCTCCACTGTAAGCCCAGAGTAAAGAAACCAGAAAATATTAACATTTAAGATCCTATCAGACTGAGTAGTCTTTTAACAAAAAAGCGAAAACTCTGATGGATTATCAAAATAGCTGCAGATTAATTTAACAGTTACAACTTATCGATTCCCAACCATAGCGCTACATCCACCCACAAGTGCTCCTGCTAACATTTGTGCCAGCTGCTTACAAGTCTAATTCTAACATGAGTAATGGTCATCAAGCTAACTTCTTCTGATACCTGTCACAGCATCTGGAACTCATCAAATGCTTCAGTTATATTTCAGCCTCAGAGAAACATCAAACACAAAGCGCAGTTTCTGCTTTGGGCTCTGTGGTTTTCTAATATGTTTTGAAGGCTGCGTTGCTTCCTGTTTTAGCAAAATAACTAGATGGTGTACTTAATGTTGTTCTCGGGTTAGAGACATATTCAGAACTTTTCATTATCATTTAATTTTAATGTTATGTTTTAGATTTAGATTATAAATTATAGCCATAGTTCTGCTTCAGTAGCTATTAAACAAGGAAATTCTAGATCAAGCCATCATATTGTGAAAAATCTAATAATAATATAAGTAATTACCTCTAAATAAGGGTTGGTAAAATATAACTTTGACATAATTTATGTTATAATCATAATTACTCCCCATTATGTCCTTGGTTAAAATTATGTTCCAGATAGTTTAACACGGCATGTTTCTTCAACTTTTTGAAAGATCTCTTCTTAGTAGTGGGAAAAAAATAATTTATATTCACCTTCTTCATAACTATTGTAATATTATAAAAACAACAATATACACCTCAGGTCAGAAACTGCTCAACATAGTTTAGGTCACCGACACACAATATATGGTGCAAATGAAATAACTTCAAAGAGCAGAACCCTCTGTAGACACAAAAGGCTTTGCACATCTTTTTTCACAAGTACTTCCTTAAGTCCCATAAACAGACTGTGATGTGTAAAATCAGTATCAGAGTTCTCCTTTAAGGTTGTGATGAGATCACAAGTCTTGAAAAGTCTTCCTTCTATAAAGCCATGAGATTTGTTTAAAAAAAAAAGTTTTTGAAACCATAAGCATGCAGCCTTTTAAATCTGTTCATATCAACAGGCCAGCAAAACATGATCATCTCTACAGTGGCTCCTCATTACGTTTTACTTTGAGAACAGCATGCTGCTTCTCTACTGTTCTGAAATTGCCCTTTACATAACCAGATTAAGCCAGACCTTTAAAATGTGTCCTATAATATCACCGGGATCCCCAAAATATAAACAAAGCGATTGCAGTTACAAACAGCAGATGTGATTTTCACATTTAATTGCATTGCAATATCATCAGCAGCTACAGCAACAAATTTTTTTGCGGTGCAGTTATATATTATATGAAGAAGTAATGACGTCTGAAGGCGACCTAAAGCTACTGTGAATTTCTGTACCTTAAATAAATCAAAGACCAGCAGCAGATGCTGGGAGATTCATTCTCTCTGCAAACCAAGTCTTACTCTTTCTCTGTAGTACACCCTCTCCCTCTAACAAATAAGCCTGGTTGTGCATTTTCTCCACCAATTGTTTATCATGAAAATTTTTATCAACCCAAAATATAAATCACTTGCCTGCTTGTTCTACTTGTTTACTATAACTTGGCTCTCCCTGTGTAGTGAAGTGAAGGTTCCCGACTTATCTCTGGCATATGGACTGTAGCTATGGTTGAAACAATTCAATGATTCATTTGATTACTCGTTTAATCCATATAACTATATAGCGCACTGCTTTGCACGGACATTTATTACTGTCGCACATCGCGCTTAAGCTGTATGAACACAACGTTATTGTGATGGCGCTCTTTGCAAAGTGGAGGAAGAGAAAAAATTGCGAGGAACGAAGAATTAAGTGTCCGAAGTATGGGATTATTTCAAGCTAAAAGAAAACAACAACTCTGTAATGTTACAGTCCGTCCACCGCAAAACGAAACTTATGTGGCCTACTGCAACAGCAGGACAGAGTAAGTAAGCCGCAATCCTCAGGTGAAAATGTACACACGTGAGTTTATTGTTCTCCGCCTGGTTGGGCCGTGAGTTTGGGTTGTAGCGTCACAGTCATGAGTTGCACAGCTGATCCCGGGACCGGGTTGGGTGCCATGCCGGCGTCAAGCAAAAATACTTCTTAAACCACCGGTCAGCAAATAAATCTGGCATCAGGCCAACTTTTTCAAGCCGTTACATGGCGGGTCAGAACAAAGTCAAATTATTTAAAATCCTTGTATGATTGTGTGCAAGTTTAACTCAGCTGGTACTGTATAGGACTCCTGTTTGGAAGGTGGTAGGATTGGTTCCAACTTACTGCGGATATTTTTTTCTCCCCTGTTAAACAAATTGATTATAAGGACACTTTTGCACATGCTCACAATAAAGCATGTGCTGCAGTGTGTGTGTTTCCCAGCGTTTGATCCGCATTCATAAACCTACGGACGCTTTTTTTCAGTTCCCTGTGGAAATTCAGGGGAAACCAATCTCACGTTTACTGACGGCTTTTTCAGATGTGTCAAGCAAGCTAGAGTCTCTTTTTAATGTCGTTCAGAACTCTTCAAAGAAAAAGTTCTCCAATAAACTTAGCGTTGCTGTACAAAAATTTCTCGTGCTTTTATTTTGGAGGCACAATCACCTAAGAGGAAGTGATTGTGTGAGTAACTGTATCTGTCATGACTGAGATCTATTTCAGCACCAGCCGCTATCAGTTTATTTATTTTTTATTTTTTCTGCTATCAAAGCAATCTGGCCGATACTATTAATGGCGGGCCGGTTCTGGCCTGCGGGCCGCCTATTGTCTTAAACGATGCATCGATGAATCAATGAATTAATCTGTTGCAGCTTTGAGTACTAAAATCATTGTTAGCTGCAGCCCTAACTGTAGCTAATTTCTGAAAGACAGTGGGTTCATGACAGTATGTTCAGATGCTGTAACAGTAGATTGTGAGAGCCCTATAGGCCTTACACTGGGCAGCCATGGTGCCACTAATGATAGTGTAATAGCTTTTTAATGTTGCAGCTTGCACCTTGCGTCTGGCTGTGTGCCGAGTGGCAAATCAGCAAAAGAATGTGTGTGAGGTTGCAAGGGTGTATGAGAGTGTGAGAGTGTTTCTGTGCACATATGTTTATGCCAATTTGAATTCCTGTACGCATCTTGCCACAGTGTCCTCTCTGTGTCTTTATCGCACACAGCCAGGCGCCGCACAGCACACACTTCCCTCCGACACACTGATGAACACATCCACTCCACTCCAGCAGCGAGAGGGGGGACTGTATTCCTGCCCTCGCCCTGAGGACATATACACACCACATATCTGCAACTTGGCACAGCCCTCCTATACAGAAGACTTACTATCTCACTCTATTTCATTCTCTTAAAAACACTACCTCAATCCTCACAGGCAATGTTGGCTCCCATGCTGTGTACTGATTGACACACAAGCACATGAATGCTCATGTCATCTTAACATGTGAAAGTATAAATATTAGATTTCATTTGCAGTTTTTCTCAAAACTAATTGTTCAGCCTCCACATCATCTCGTCACTTGTGCACATCATAAAAGCACTTTCTCATTGTCTTGAACAAATTGCAAATGACTTGACACACTGATGCAAATGATTATGTACAATCGTCTGCTGTTTCCTACATTATCAATTGCTTATGTCCTGCTGATAACAATGAATCATACCAGTCTCTGTTGAATAATCTTACCCCCAAAACATCTAGACATAGGTTAATTGCATTAGTCACTACATGCAAAATGGTTGAACACTTTATCAAAAATCTTTCTTAAGGACCATAAACAAAGTAAGAATAGACCACAACAACATCACAATAGCAACACTCATACCAATACTCAATACCAGTAAACAGTAACAATACACAGTGAGCAGCAATATATATATATATATATATAGATAGATAGATATATAGATATATATATATATAGATAGATAGATAGATATAGATAGATAGATATATATATAGATAGATATATATATAGATATATAGATAGATAGATAGATATAGATATATATATATATAGATATAGATAGATATAAAGCAAATGTTGTTTTCCCCTGAGAACGGGATAATTAATTTTCACGTGATCACGAGATAACAAACCATAGCTGAATACAGGGGCTGGCAGGTGTGTTTCCTTAGGATAATTTCAAAGCAATTACCAGTGTCACTGGTTAGTTCAGTTGGTAGAGCACAGGGCTCAGTTTGATTAGTTTGATTCCTGTTCTTGTAGACTTTCTTTTTCTTCTTTTG